AACTGTTTCAATTAAGATATAGCCAAATACGCGCAAATATTCAACTCCTATTACACTTGTGAGAATATATAGTCATTAACAAATTGAGAGAAAAACAAAAAAATCAAAACGAGCTACATTGAAGAATTTGTTGTCCTTTTGTTGTACGTTTAGTTTCATTAAACATTTTTTTGCATTTTATCCTATGCATTTGGCGATTTTGTATTAAATGTTGAGGAAAGAAATTTGCATTACATTTAATAACAAATTTAACAATAAAATCGATTGTTTGGTGTGCGTTATCAATTATATATGGTCTAATTTGTTCAAATTTGATCAAAAAAATGTTTGAATATCAAACCATAAGTTTAGAATAAGTTATTTTCATTTCTTATGGCTGTTTGCTAACTTGTTTAGCTTGTATGAAATAATTTAGTTCAAAAAAAATGGCATAACAAGACGATGTGATATAGCGAGTTTTTACTGGAAATATATCATTATTTTAAAAACGTATGATCAATCAGAATAGCAGAAATAACCAATAGATAGTGTTAAATTTTTTCAACCATCGGCGCTATGATCAAGGAGATTGTAGTATTGTAACAACAGTCAATTTAAGTAAATATACTTTCAACATTGAATTGTAAGATATGTATGTTGAAGGTAACTATATTCATCACACGCGGTTTTTTCCCATTTGAAACGGTGTCCAAACGCGTGTAAACGACGCAATCATCATTTATTGTGGTTTTTCGACTATGCTTGGGGAAAAAAATGCAGCGTTTTAGTAATTGATTAAAATTAAAATTAAAATCGTCAAAAATTAAAAAACTAAAATTATTGTAAATTAATAAATTAAAATAACTTTTAAGAAGTTTTAAAGTTTGAAGCGTATACAAAATGCATTCATGAGTAATCGACTATGGCACAGCCAATGGACATATCCGGGTTTCCAAATGATCTCCAGAAAACCTTTCTAGAAAATCGGGATTTGAAGTTGAAACAAAATATCTTAAGGATAAATAGATTATGGCGCATCTAACGGGCATATAATCAGTGCTGTTTGAGGATTTTCAGTGGGTTTCAAGCGGATCTGCAGAAATGTTTTTGCCGTTCTAGCACAAACAAAGTTGATAAACTTATCATACTCGATATCGTACATAAATCGTTTCTTTTAGTTTTAAACGTCAATAAATCCAAAAAGGTTTCGTAAGAGCCTTCTGGAAACCTCAATTATCTAGTAGTTGAAAGCGTCGCAGTTGATTATCTATGAAAGTATTTTGTTTTAGTTAAAGCCTCAATAGTATCAAAAGAATGTCTGGAGATTCTTGGGAAATCCTCGTAAAAGACTGACTTTATATCCGTTAGAGACGCCGTAATCTATTTATCCTTAAGATATTTTGTTTCAACTTCAAATCTCGATTTTCTAAAAAGGTTTTCTAGAGATCCTTTGGAAACCTCGGATATATGTCCATTGGATGTGCCATAGTCAATTACCTATGAATGCATCACATGACATCACGTGCACTGTAAAAAAATAGTTACGCTAAAAAGTGGCAAGAAGCAGAAAAATGCAGGATCCACAATATTCCGCGTCGTGATTCTGGGATATTCTACCATATTGTGAACAAACTTTTAACAGAATTCGCATTTTGCCTCACAGTATGCCACAATTTCGCGGAAAATTATAAACTATCATAGCATTTTGCACGATTGTGAGACATAATGAGACTTCTACTAAAATTTTGCTCACAATATGGTAGAATATCCCAGAATAAACATCACGATGTGGAATATTGTGGATCCTGTATTTTTCTGCTTTTTGCCACTTTTTACCGTAAATATTTTTTACAGCGTGTGCAGTCACTACAAAGGAAAGAAAATAAAAAATTGTGGTCTGTCTTAGTTCAAAATGATAAAAAATAAAAAACTTGGTTTTTCAGTTATCAAAGCCTTATTATTCATAATAAAGCTTTTATTCATGATCTAGATGAAGATCTGAATCTAACTGTATAAAATTTGATTAGTTTCTCTCACTTGTTTCTTAGATCTTTGAACGCGAAACATACGTTTGCGACATCGTTTTCACTCTTTCTCTGTTGTTTGGTATTCACCAATGGGGAAGCAAGATCCAAAATGTATTCCCTGGATCCGTATTTTCAGCTAAAAGACAACGTGATTTGATTGCACTTCAGACAAAAAGAAGAAAAAGATGAACAGAAAAAGAAATAGTCACTGTCTAAACCTCGCCACTAATCTAATTTTCGTGTTCAGAAATAGAATAGACATCGCATGAAGCTTTATTTTTCTTAAAAATATCTAAATTCAGGAAAGAGGCTAACTGAACTGAAATTGCTTTCTGCAGTGAATCAGAACGTACTGAAAGCGTTGAAATAGCTTAAAAAGTAACTGTAACAACCAATATAACGTCGGCTTTCCTGAGTATAATGTAAAATAAAAATAAATTGCTTGTACCTAACTTTTTAAGGACTTATTTCAGCATTTTATGATGATATAATAACGACTATGCTTGTTTTTTAAGCTGTTCATCACCGTCTGATAAACATCCATCCTATGCTTATTAGTACATGTGTATAAAAATATACTGCAACTCTTTGAACGGATCATGTCAGTCACTGTGTCGGCACGTCAGTCTCATTCAACAACATTTAAAAGACAAAATATAATTGCCGTACCAACATCGGGTAACAAGTGCATAGATATGGCCAATGATAAACGTACAAAAAATTCCACCATATCTGTGCCATCATCGCCGAGATTAAACAATAATCCATCTACAACACAACATAGATGTCAACAGTTTCATTATTCTCAAATTCCACCGACAATATCTTTACCATCAATATCCTCCAAATCTACATGTTCAAGCGACAGGACATCTAAACAACGTTCAGTACCATCCCCTAGAGTACGCTTACAATCTATTAATGACGTTGATTCTGAAGAAAAAACAGATCAAAAATTGTGTGCGGTTACTAATTTTTCACGACTGTTAAATCGTCCACAATTACAACAAAGTAACCATCTTTCCTCTCAAACACGCACTCGTGTGTCATCTGCACCAGTAGGCAATAGTCTACAACAACCATCGTCAGTCGTAGTTCGAAAACCGCGGTCAGCTAATGAAAGTATCCAACAGCAAAAATCTAATCTATCGCATAAAGGTAGTGGCACAACGCTGAATCATTCTCGTAGAAAAAACTCCACAATGAAAACAAACTATAATAATCAACAACTCAACACCAATCACAGATATCGTCTAGTTAAAGTTGATAAAAAGCAGTACCAGGTAAAACTCTCACAACAATCCCATTCAAAAGTGTTAGATGCTGCTCAGAAACATCGAACATTAGTGTTAGTACGAACAAAGCCAACGAAGAATATATTTACTAACGAACATCATTCATTACCACAGTGCGATCGAAAAGATAATTTGTTAGCGGTGTCAAAAACAAATAATAGTTCATCAAATATACTCAAGCAAAGTATACATTCACCAGATTTCCGACTACATTTAGAGCAAAAAAATATATCTCTAGTACGACAACCATTAATGATGGTTAATACAAGTAAGTTAAATTTATCTAAGCTTATGCATTATTGTTTTTCTTTTCGCTAAATTTTAGCTCTACAACAATCTTCATCCTCCTCTTCCTCTTCATCATCGATCGGATCTCAGTTATCTCCTCAGAACCAATTAGTTGATCAAAATCAAGATATTGATAGTGGCGAAAGATTCAACTTTGTATCATCAAAACCTGAAGTTATAGATTCAAATGGAATAAAAGCGATTCTAATTGATATTAACAAATTCGATGATGATAAACGGTTTAGTTCATTGTCAAAGACAACATCGAAAACAGACAGTCAGACACGTTCATCAGCATATCGAAAAACAAATTATTCAGATCTAACGAAATTTGAATATGTTGTTGCGAATTCTTTTGACAATACAACAACACCATTTAAAATATCACCTCGTTCATCATCACAAAATCGAGACGAAATGGGATTCAGTTCAAATTCAAAAGCACCTCAATTAGAATCATCAATTGTCGCAGACAGTGTAAACCAAAGTGATAATCTAGGATATACATCAATATTAAGAACAAATACAACAACAACCGAAAGACAACATTTGTTGGATGATGTTGATACATTGGAACATGATGACGATGAAAATAGCAAAGATGAACAAATTGCATTATGTTATGATGAAATATTGGACTGTTTCTATGATCCAGAGACAAAAATTTATTATGAATTACAATCGACATAAATTATAAATCTTGCACTTATTTTTGCTTAAACTTTTTTCAATAATCGAGAGTGAGTAGTTATAGAATGACTAGTTTTATTTTTTGTCGCAATAATTCATGTTAGAGATATTGTCTTCCTTCACTTCTTTCAACTGTAACTCCTTAAGTTACATATAAAAAAATTAGATTCTTTTCTCTTTCTTATTTATCAACACTCATCTTGATGTTTTTCTAGAGAAAAAAAACCAAAGATACTTTCTGACACTTTGCTCACACCTTAACTACTCAGTAAGAGAATCAATATTCTTTTCTTTTAATTAATTAGGATGCAATAGATGTGCTGAACAACTTGTTCATTTTTTTTTTTTGTTACTCCTATGTAACTAATTTTTAGTCTGGTTAACTAAATATTAAGTATTTTTTCTTACAACAAGTTTGTAGAATCATTTTTTTACAATTAAAACTGCGGGTCGGACTTTTTTTATCTTCTTAATTTTTCTTTTAATTCCAAAAGTAAGTAAGTACAGCCAACGATCTATGTACATTGATTTGTTCATTACTTTGTTTATCTTCTTTTATTGATTATCCAGTCTCTAATGAATGCATGAGAATAACAACGAGAATAATTTACCTTTTATTTTTTTGTTAGAAAAGATAAATGTAGTTGATTTTTTGGAATGTTTTATATAGACAAAAAAAATGATATGTTTTTTTTTAATTTTATTTTTAGAGTTTCTCCATCGTTTATTTTAGATATTTTTCTGTTTTTTTATATACTACGCTGTATGAGAACTGTGATAAAAACAAAAAATATTTTTGTTTTTGTTATAAATATATGATATGTGTATGTATGTGTATAATTCATTTATTAAAGAAATTAGTTAAGTATCGAGTTTTTATTCTTATTTTCTTAATTAATAATGGATTTTTGGTTGAAAACTTTTCTCATTATATTTTATATTTTATTAAGATAGATTAGTCTCTTGTATTTTAAGATTATTTTAATGAGTGTATAGAAAATTTCTGAGAAAAATGGAACTAAAAATATCTGTTTTCTTTTTTTAATAATTTAATAATACTCAACAATAAAAAAAAAAAATGAGTTTTTTATTTCAATTATTTAATATAGAAATTGAACGATTTAGAATGTCAACAAGCGTAAATTTAAAATATCTAATATCATCTTGATCTTGATAGTAGGGTCGATTATAATATTATTTATCGATAAAAAATATTTTTTACTATAAATACGTTTTTTTCAGAATCAAATTATTCTTTTTTTTTTTTTTTTTTGATAATAAAGAATAACAACTTTATGCAATTTAGTACAATTGAGTTTATTAAGTAAATTCTCTGCAAGATGTCTCTTTCGTTTTCGCTTCTTATCATTACGATTATATTCTTTCTCGCTTGTAGATATAATTTTGTTTTGAACAACTAGTACAATTGATTAAATAAAACTTTTAATCTCTCTAATTCTTCACGTTATTATTTTTCTTCTTATTTTTTTCTTCTTCTTCTTTTACTGTATCAAACCCGAGATAGACGCGAGACAAATGATGATAGGTATATATATAAAATGTATATTTGTTTGTTTTGTCGATTGAACAGAAAATTTTCTTCTTGGTGTTTTTCATAACAAAACGTTGACATTTCTCTCTGTCTCTCTCTTTTTGCTAACTCGATATTGTTATTATTGCTCTTTTAAAAAGAAAATTCTTCTGTCTATCTTCTTTCGTGAAACCTTTTAAAATTTGAGAATAGGTGTAATATTCATGTGATTAAACAAGTGTGTACGAGATACCTTTTAATGGCATAAAGAGAGTATTTACATATAATTTCAAGTAATAATAATTCATAAAAAAAAAACTTTTTTTTTTTTTTCGTTTTTTGAATATGATTAGCATACACTTATCCATCAAGGTCGAATAATCGATCTCTTTTTAGCTAAATTAATTAGGAAATTTTTCTATGAGGATTATTTTCAGTTTTAGTTTTCACACATTATCTTAGAAGCGGGAGAAAATGTTTAATAGGTACTATTATACAACAGATATTTTTTGATTAAGATAATAGGGGATTTTAAGAATTCGTTTAATTATATTGTGAATATATTGATCTATTTTACTTATTTCTTCTTTTTTTTTAAATACTAAAAATCGTTTTGCCTTTGATCCAATCTACCAGGATGGAAAAGTATAAATGGTGAGTTTTGTTGTTGGTTCTAGAGAGCCCATTCAAGTACCATTCGAAAGAGCAGATATTTTAAACAGTATTATATAAAAAAATAACTAATACAAAAGACTTCAAGTTTTAGAGAAAAAAAAATTCTTTTCTGTCATCTTAAAATGTTCGGCTTTTGTCTCATCAAAATCGACATTAAAAATTTGAAAATCTGATGTTTATTATTGCATCAATCATAATTTGATGCTTCAGCAATTTAAAGGATAAGTCATTTAATAGTGATATGATTTTTACTCTAGAGACTCATTGAATAAAGTTAGAACAAAATTTTCTTCATCACCTATTAACTGAGATTAAAACTGAAAATTGAACTTGTTTATGAATACTCCACACTCTTTTTTTTGCTTTCATTAAGACTTTCGATTTTTGAGCTAGATATGCTACAATATACATTTATGTACCCTCTATTAGGCGTGCATCGGTTATAACCGATTGAAATTGTGTACTTTGTTTACAAAAAGTTTTTTTCAACGAAAATTGATTCTCGAAAATTTTTCTAACAACTAGGTTTTGTGCAGCAAACATTTTTCTACAAGATATCTAGTACTTATGAAAAAACAGATTTCTAAAAAGTTCCATAATCGGTTATAACCGGTTTAAGGATCTTTGTTGAAAAGTGATTGCAACAGAAATAGAAAACATGAAGGCTTTCACCATAGCTCATCTTGTGGAAAAATGTTTACTGTACAAAACGCAATTGTTAGAAAAATTTGAATATGCGTACTTTTCATGCAATCCTTTGCAGAAAAAAGGTGAAATTCATTGATTATAACCGGTGCATACCTACCATTTATAGAATGGGACGTTTCTCAGCTCTCTGTGATCTTTCCTTCCAGAGTTATGTATATTTTAAGATTGACCACTGGAGAACCTAATTCACCATTGTCCATTTTACAAATGTCGTCCACGGATTTGTTGATCAGCCAGAATTTTTCTAGACATTCATACAAAGACGAGTATTTTTTTTAAGCTGAGATATCAGTCTAATTTCTAGGAGCTTTTGTGCGCGAAGTGTACGCTTCGTTTCATAAGAGGCGACGTCAATGATGCGACTCATGTTTTTTAAAATTCTTGTTTTTGGTATTGATCAAATGTCTCCTTTCTAGTGTTAGATAGAGTTAATATTCACTACACTAGAGAAATTTTATGGGAAAATTCTGAATATAATATTATAAAAAAGATATCCCTGCTTTTAATATATTAAAGAGTCTTTGTCTTTGAATTGTCTTCTAAACCGTGCTCAAGCAAAATTAAACCTAAATACTCCTAGTTCCGTTAATAGTTGACGTGTATGTTTAAAAACTTTAGAAAACACATATTTTAATGTTTTAAATGTAATGCCATAGTAAAAACTCGAAACCCTTATACAGGATTGCACTGGTTTTCTAGAAAAAAATCATGACTTTTATCAGGCTACCTATCCGTAGCTATATTTTTCGTTGATTAACTGTAACAGTTACTCTTGTTTCTAAATTTTCTTTTTACATATCAATAGGTTTGAAATTTTATATGTCATTACATAGCGTTCTTCCTTGATGACAACTCATTTTGTACAATGATTCATTCATTTATATGTACAACATGTAAAATTTCAACCTTGAATTGATGTTTGAACTGGCTCTCTAGTATCAGTCGTAAAAGAGATATACTAAAAACAAAACTCATGATTTATGTTTCTCCATCAGCGGTAATAGACGACCATGTACACTTAAATTAGAAAAATTACCAACAATCAAATATTGCGTGAAATAGAGTATGTATGTCGATTTTAACATGATTATACTTGAAATATATAAATTAAGTGTTGAGATGGAAACACTAACGAAAAAAATATAAAGTGCCATTTTTTTTTTTGCTATTTCTTTCGTGTTCAATAGATCTGCTTTTTTATTTTTATTCTCATCGTATAAAATTTCTATTTTGTTGTTCTATCTTTTTCATTAATATATTGACTAAAACACGAACGGCTGTTAATCGTGAAACATAAAAGAGGACTTGATTTCCATCCAGATCATTCATATTATGATGTTACTGATGATTTTAGATGGATGTGTATAAACGTGAGAACAACGAAACACACGAACGAAAAGAAAAAAAAAGAGAGAGAATAAATTACGTTAAATTTGCTTTTTAGCATATTATGTGATGTGAAAAGAGAGCCTTGGGAGAAAACATCAATTTAAAGATTCTTCATTTAATCTGATCACTACATCACATTACATTCAAAACATCGACAAGTTAAACATGGTGAGACGACCGGAATTTCATTTTTCTTTTTGATTTTTAAGCATTATTATTTTATCAAAGTTAGAAAATGAGCAAAAGACAGATGAATAAGGTGGGTGCGTATTAAGTTACGTGGAGTGATAAAGAAATAACATCTTAATAAACTTGAAAGGTATTCAACTTGTCAGAAATAGTACTAAAAAGTGTTGTCTCAAATCTTCTAAATTTTTGTGTAATGAGGAAGAGAAAGAACAAAAGATCAGAACTAAAAAACAACTGTACGTATAACTCTAAGATGTTATATGTCTGTGAACTTGTTGACGGCAACAAAATCTTGAAAAGTCAGAACATTTCTGCTAGAGTTGACTTTGCAACTTATCAACGGTAACTAACTGCGTTTGGAGAACGTTCGAGAAATCGGTACTGATATAAGCAATAAAAAATTTATCTCAACATGAGTTGCACTTTTACACTTATATGATTAGAATCTCAATTATAAATAGTATTTACATTTTATAAAACTATTTATTAAACTAAACATTCATTGGTG